CATTTTCTAACACTGAAAGTGCTAAGGAATTCATGAAATTTGGTGATAATTGTTCTCAATCTGACTCTGCTGATAAGTCTAAATTAATTATTTTAAATTTAAGTCAAACATCAATTATGATTGGATGTATACTCTTGACCCATCACACGAAGATTATCCCTTCGAGTAAGTCTCCCTCTCAAACCAAATGAATGACTTGAAGAGGAGAGGAATCGAATAGTGAACTAACGTACTACAACAATGATTATTATCGTGTATTGTTAATACACTATTATTATTTTAGTATGATTTTATATGAATATTTATGTAAGTTTAATGTTCGAAGCATTAATGTATGAGCTTGTATTATTTATTTGCAGTAACTTTATTTATTTGCAGTAACTACTCACGTTTCTCTTTATTCGCAAGCAACATCTGCTCAAACTTTCAATAGACTTAATTTCTTTGAATGGTGTGAGCAAGTCCAGTTTCACCTTGGTGTTCTGGATCTTGATTTGACACTCACGACTGAGAAACCCCCTGTTCTTACTTATTCTAGCAGTGTTGAGCAAATATATTTTTATAGAACTTGGGAAAAATCAAACAAATTAAGCTTAATGTTTACAAATGACTGTAGTAAATAACATAAAGTGTATATTTTCTAACACTGAAAGTGCTAAGGAATTCATGAAATTTTATGATAATTGTTCTCAGTCTGACTCTGCTGATAAGTCTCTTGCGGAGACACTATTGAGTACGTTAACCAACATGAAATTTGATGGTTCTCATACTATACATGAGCATGTCGTTGAAATGACAAACATAGTAGGAAGTCTTAAGACCATGAGAATGGAATAGAAGTGAATGAAAATTTCCTTATGCAATTTATCATTAACTCCTTGCCTCCTGAGTATGGTCCATTTCTCATTTCACATAAATTACAACACTATGAAAGATAAGTGGAATGTGAACGAACTATAATGTATGCTCATTCAAGAGGAAACAGTGCTTAAGAAAGGAGCAAGCCATTCCATTAATCTCATGGGTCACCAAAGAAGAGCTGTAAAGAAACATGAAAAGAAGAATGAAAAGGGAAAGCAAAGACCACTAAAGATTAATGTGTCATCTTCCTCAATTCATAAAGAGGAACATTAATGAATTAAGCGTCACTTTTGCAGAAAGCCTTGACACTATCAATTTGAGTGTCAAAAGTGCAAAAAATAGTTCGAAAAGAAAGGTAAACCTTGTGTTTCTGTATGTTTCGAATCAAATTTGGCAGAAGTTCCTTATAATACCTGGTGGATTGATTCTGGTTGTACCACTCATGTTTCTAATACGATGCAGGGATTCCTTACAACCCTAACCCAAAGTATAAATCCAAATGAAAAGTTTGTCTTCATGGGAAGCATATTCAAAGTTCGAGTTGAAGCTATTGAAACCTATCGGTTGATTTTAGATAGTGGACATCATTTAGACCTTTTTCAAACACTTTATGTCCTTTATATTTCTCATAATTTAATTTTATTGTCTAAATTTGATTATATTGGATACTCCTTTAAATTGGAAAATGGTTGTTTTAATTTGTTTAACACAATCATCTCATAGGTTCTAGTATTTTTTGTGATGACCTATATAAGCTTAAACTTGATAACATTTTCGTTGAGACTCTAATAACTTTGCATCATAATATTAGTACTAAACGTGGTTTCATGAACGAAAGTTCAACTTATTTGTGGCATAAATGTTTGGGTCATATATCCAAATAAAGAATTGAAAGATTAGTAAAGAATGAAATTCTTAATGAATTGGATTTTACTGATCTTGGCACTTGTGTGAATTATATTAAAAGAAAACACACAAATCACACACTTGCGTGAATTATATTAAAAGAAAACACACAAATCACACACTTAAGAAAGCTGCCACAAGAAGCACACAACTCCTTGAAATTATACACACTGATATTTGTGGACCTTTTGATGTTCCATCTTTTGGTGGGGAGAAATATTTTATCACCTTTGTTGATGATTTTTCATGTTATGAGTATGTCTACTTATTACATCAAAAATCTCAAGCTATAGACGCCTTAAAGGTGTATATAACTGAGGTTGAGAGACAATTAGACAGAAAAGTGAAAATTATCAGGTCTGATGGATACAATGAATATTATGGAACTTACAATGAATCTGAACAATGTCAAGATCTTGCTAAATTTCTTCAAACTAATGACATATGTGTTCAATACACTATGTCAGGAACACCACAATAAAATGGTGTTGTAGAAAGGCGGTGTTGCAGAAAATGGTGTTGTAGAAAGGCGAAATCATACTCTAATGGAAATGGTTAGTAGTATGATGAGTAATTTTTTTTTACTCTCATCATTGTGGATGCATGCTTTAAAGATCGCTGCATATTTATTAAACAGAACTCCTAGTAAGGCAATTCCAAAGACTTCTTTTGAATTGTGGACATGAAGGAAACCTAGTTTAAGGCATCTGCGTGTTTGGGGTTGCCCAGCAGAAATAATGTTATATAATCCACACGAAAAGAAACTGGACTCAAGAACAACCAGTGGTTTCTTCATTGGTTATCTGAAAAAATCTAAAGGGTATAGATTTTATTGTCCTAACAACAGTACAAGAATTATTGAAGCTGGAAATGCTAAGTTCATTGAAAATTATGAAGTTAGTGGGAGTTTAGAACCACATAAAGTGGAGATCTAAGAAATTAGGGTTCAAGTTAATTTACCCAAAATTTCTTCTCAAGTTGTTATTTCTACAGTTGTTGAACATTTTAACAACTTATAAGAATAACAAATATATGATCAAATACCCCACAATGAAACTGTCACTAATGAACCTGCATTAGATGAACCACATGAAGTAGCACCTCAAAGACAAAAATGGTCTGCTATATCCGATGATTATGTGGTTTATCTACACAGATTTGAATTTGACTTAGGAGTCAATGAAGATCCAATTTCATTTTCACAAGCCATAAAAAATGCAAATTCTTCTAAATGGTTAGATGCAATGAAATATGAGTTGAAATCGATGGATCACAACAAAGTCTGGGATATCGTTGAATTGCCTAAAGATTGTAAAAGAGTCGGGTGTAAATGAGTATTTAAGACTAACCATGACTCGAATGAAAATATTGAACGATATAAAATCAGACTTGTTGCCAAAGGTTTCACTCATAAAGATGACATCGACTATAAAGAAACATTTTCTCCGGTTTCTAAGAAAGATTTATTTAGAATTATCATGACACTAGTGGCTCATTATGATTTGCAGTTACACCAAATAGATGTGAAAGCAACCTTTATGAATGTGAATTTAGATGAAAAGGTCTACACGAGTTAACCTAAAGGATTTTTGGTTGAAAGAAATGAACACATGGTGTGTAAACTTAAGAAATCAATATACGAACTTAAGCAAGCTTCCCGACAATGGTATCTTATATTCAATGATACAATCACGTCCTTTGGATTTAACCTTTGGATTTAAAGAAAATACTGTTGATCGACACTATTGATCGGTGTATATAACTAAAGGTCAGTAGGAGAAAAATCTTATTTATCATTCTGTATGTTGATGACATCTTACTGGCAACTAATGATCTTGAAACCAATAACTTTCTCTCTAATAACTTTGAAATGAAAGATATGAGTGAGACATCCTCTGTGATTATAATTTAAATATTTCGTGATAAACCATAAGGTTTGTTAGGGTTGTCTCAGAAAACATATATCGAAAGAGTTCTTAAGAGATTCAATATGGAAGGATGCTCAACAAGTGTTGCTCTAATTTAAAAAGGAGATAAATTCAGCCTTATTTGGAATGTAAACAAATGGAAGAAATTCCTTATGCCAGCCTTATTTTGAATGTAAACAAATGGAAGAAATTCCTTATGCATCTATTGTTGAAAGCTTAATGTTTACTTAAACTTGTATTATACCAGACATTAGCTTTGTTGTCGTGATGCTGAGCAAGTATGAAAAAATTGTATCGATAAATTGATGCACAACCACCGTGATTCATATTAATTTCATACTTATTAAATAATTTATGACATACTTATTAAATAATATTAAATAATTTATGATTTAACCAAAATAAAGAAGGATATATCTTAAATTTTGTGCATTATGTTATATACTATTAAAATTAAGTGAGCCAAGTGAGAGAATGTTATATTTTTATTTATAACTCATATTTATTTTAATAACTTAAGTTATTTATTTTACTCATAACTTATGTAATAAATTATGACAACTTATGATATTTATTTATTATGACAAATTATGATATTTATTTTGAAACTAAAGTTATCAATTTTCTTAACTAAAAAAATATGTCATAACTTATAATAACTTATGATATTTATTTTTGTAACTCATGATAACTTAAGCTATTAATTATTTTAACTCATAATTTATGTCATAACTTATGATAACTTATGATATTATTTTTATAACTCATGTAATCTCTAAAATGAATAAGAGATACTAACTTATGTCATTGATTTTAATAATAAAAAATCAATTAATTTATTAAATTATCATAAATCCTATTGGTTTGTAACTCCCTTGATGAATGATGGTTAAATAGATCATGATTTAAAGAATGAGTCATCTCTCTTCCCAACACACCCTGTATATTTCCCTCCATCAAAAAATAAAAAAAATTTCAAGGGATTAGACAGAGAAACTCCATATCTATAAGATCAAATTTCTTCAAGGTAAAAGTTTTTCATCATGAATACAAGTATGTGTTACTTTATTATAGATATATAAAAATCATAAATTTAAAATATCTTGACTATTATGTATTTTTAAAATTTGTATCATAAAGTTCAAACATGAATTCTAACATCTACACCCACGAACATCAACATAGATTGGAAAGAGTAGCGGAAAAAAAACCTCAAGTGAATCGCAGTGGAACTGAAGTCCCTATAAGGATCCAAGAAACTCGTATTACACCCGAGAGTTTATTTAATTAGAAATCAAGCATCCGAAAGCAACGCGCTTCCATTACGCTGAAGCTGTGATTTGACCGAAGTACCCTTTCACACCGTTTTATATATCTCCGTCGAGCCCTGCCCATTTTCAACTTCGCAGAGCCGATCCGAAGAAAATCACTGACGGGTAAAGAAAACTTCCATTCAATACTTCTCTTACAGTTTTTTTTTTTTTGTATACATATAATTTATTGATTTTTGCTTAATTTTCCTGGATCCGATCAGATCTGGCTGATTTGGGGGTCCGATTTTCGGGTTTGGAGAGCATTTTTCGTCATATTTTTTGCGTTTATAAGTTTTTTCCTGTAGAATGCTCGCCGTGGGATGATCTGAATGCTTCTGTTAAGTAGATGAGGGAGGGGGATTTGAGTAGCAATTCATGCGAAAATCATTTAGGGTTGTTTAGTGTAGTGGCAATTAGATCCAATTCATTGTAACACCGGATTTAATGAATTATCAATGGTTTATGTCCTGGAAATTATTTTAGTTGTTAGATCTTAATTCGGTTAAACTCTTATAATTATTTCAGATTTTTAATGATTTACATGATTTCTTGTATAAAATTTATTTGATTGAATATTAGTAATTTTAATCAATATGTTTATCAATTTTAATTCGTCTAATAAGCAAATATCTTAATTATTTCTTAATTTATGATTTATATAAGCAAGTAGATATAATAATTTATGTTTAATTAAATAAAATTACAAATAATATTATTTTCTTTAATTCATTGACTTTTAGTATATTAATATTTTTGAATAATTTTAATTAAATCTTAAAAAATTATCAAGTTTTATAAAGAGTGAAACATAAGAAGATTTGCATACATGCCACTCAATTCTTACGTATTTATGGATCCAATTCCTAAACTTGTATGCCCACTTTTTTTTTTTACCTATATTAAAAAATATATATATATATATATATATGTAGACAAATTGAAAATGTATTGGAATTAGGTGGTATGTATGTAAAATGATCCTACAGAATATACCCGGAACGGTCGCCTGCTCTGAAGCGCTCTGCGACAAATTGAAAAAACAGTGAGCCCTAACTCAACTGGCCTCCCCCTTTCGCCTCCACCTCAAAATCGCGAAAACTGGGTTCGGCCGGCTGTAGTCTTCTCCTTCTGCTCTCAAAATCGCGAAAGGCTTGCAGCTGCGAGAGCTTAGGGTTTCGTTTGTGTTCGTTCTCTAATCTCTACTTCTATTTGTCTTCGATATAGTCTCTTTGTCCTCGGCGAATCGGCGTTGGCTCGACTGCTTGGTTGATCGATATTCTTGCTTGGTTGCTTGTTTGGCTACGGAGGTGTTATCTTTGAGTATCTTTTCTCTAATATTTAATATTTATCTTCAGCTTCGCCTCTTAGCTTAAATTTTCTTAAATTTCTCTTAGATTTATTCAGATTTTTTTGTGTGAAACCGAGTTTTTGAAGTTTTTGGGATTGAAATCTCGCATATTGCCTTTACATCTAATTCTTTTATGGCTGAGATCTGATATAAGGCTTTTGCTTTGAATCGTGGTTTGGCTATTGTGCATTTGTGATTTGATTCGGTTATTTGGCTTCACTTGTTCTCATAAGGCTTTTTAGCTAATCTTGAAAAAACTTGATTCGGCTATTGTGCACCGAAGCGGTGGAAGACAAGAATAGTGGACAAATATTAGGTAATTTTCATCATTAATGATAGAAACAGAGAGTATTAAGACTCAACTGTTGATCTTTATGTTCAAAATAGTTATACTGCATCACTTTAATTTGTTAAAGCATAGCGTGAATGGCTGTCCATTTATCAATTTGTAATAATATAGTTGAATAAATAATTTTTTTTTGATAGAGATGTTATTTATTTGTTTTTTTGGTAATTTTATAATTAATGATTAAATTTATTATCATTTTATTTTTTTAACTCATTTCAAATCGAATTCAAACTGAACACGAACAAACCAAACAATGAGAATAATACAAACAATTCTAACATTTCAAATATTTCGAGCAATTTGAATTAATCTCAAACAAATTGAACGAACAGGAACAATTTCGAACACGAGACTATTTCAAACATATATAATTTCAAACGAAACGACACGAACATGAGCTATGTTCCGTTCGTTCACAGTCCTAGCTGGAACTGGAGTAGGAGCAACAGTGTGTGATGGCGAAGAAGTTATTGTGAGCTACAAATTTAGAAATAAGGTAAAACTCTGGGGTGGGCTTTGTTTTTATTTTCCTATGCATAACGGATTTTGTGTGTTTATTGAATCCGTTAGCCTAATTTGATTTTTCTTTAGTGTTTCCCCTCAACGGATCTGTCGAATTTACATGTGCCGGTGTTTAGATTGAGTGAGTTTTTGGTGTTTGTGTTGAAAGATCTAATTCAAAATTCATAATTCAAATTACAATATTTATTGTCTTTCCTTTTCTACAGATATTATTCTCCTTTCTTATTTTTATCTTGCTTAATTAGTCTTGGAATGTAATAGGGATTTCTTTGAATTTATTTAGTTAGTTTCCTAATCTAAGGAGGAGAGACTCATATATGTAAATGCATATTGAATTGAATCATTAAGAAGAAATAAAATTTTCTCTTTAATTTTTGGTTTTATGTTATCAGAGCGGGAGATAAAATTCTGAAAAAAAAAACCCTAGTCTTCGTCCCTGCGCAGCCACTGCTCGCTTCTGCAAGCCGCGATCCTTCTACTGCAAGTCGCGATCCTTTCTGCAGTCCACGATCCTTCTACCGCGAGTCGCGATTCCGTCGAACCTTCGGCCTATCTCCGATTCCTACTTCTTGAGCCGCAGGAACTTCTTCCGCCACTTGCAAAGCCGAACCATATCTTCTTTTTTATCATGTCTGAAAATACAAATGATTCTGCCACCTCTATCCAGCATTCCACCCTGTCATCAACACCACCCTCCTCTAGAACCACCGAAAATCACCCGGCTCAGATCACCACAATCCGTCTCAATGGTGATAATTATCTACGCTGGTCACAATCAGTGAAGATGTACATTAGAGGAAGAGGGAAGATAGGCTACCTAACAGGGGAAGTCTGTAAGCCAGCCACTACAGATCCATCCTACGCAACCTGGGATGCAGAAAATTCCATGATAATGACATGGTTGGTGAACTCTATGGAAGAAGAGATAGGCGCAAACTACATGTGTTACTCCACTGTCAAAGAACTCTGGGAGAATGTGGCCTAATTGTATTTGGACACGGGTAACCAATCTCAAGTTTATGAACTTTCTCTGAAATTTGGTGACATTCGTCAAGGTAATGACTTTGTCACAAAATACTTTAATTCTTTAAAAAGAATATGACAAGATCTTGACCTGTTCAATGATCAAGAGTGGAAGTGTCCTGATGATGCTAGTAGGTATAAGAAATTGTTGATGCAAATAAAATTTTTAAATTTCTTGCTGGACTTAATGAGGAGTTTGATGAGGTTAGGGGCAGAATTATTGGAAGAAGTCTCATGCCTTCAATCCATGAGGCATTCTCAGAAGTTCGCCACGAAGAAACTCGAAGAGGAGTGATGCTCAACAAGAAATCCATTCCTACCAGCATACCCGAGACTTCGACATTCCAATCGGAGGCTCATATCAACAAGTGGACTGTTCCATATCCACCGAA